TGATGGTTATAATTGTCTCAAACAGTATAAAACACACAAAAACGTAGGTATTTAGATGGCAAATAAAATGGAAAATCAAAATAGGTAAAATGAGAATGTATGTGATTTTAAATGTTCCATGGTTCAGGATCAGGAGCAGCTAGTCTTATATTTCTAATTGCTGATTAACCCCTTAGACCCAGAGGGTTTAAGGAGCTAATTCCACCTGAAATTACATATGTGAATTAAAGCAAGTACAGGTCCCAGACTATAAATTATAAATACAATTGTTTGCATTTGTATGACAGAAAGACGTAGATGAATATTTTTTAGGTGGAACCACTATTTTAAATTTCACCATGTCTGATTTGAAGGTGATTATACAAAGAAAAAAATTAAAAATATTTAGACACCTGCAAAACACCATGAAAGCCCCATTGAAATTCAATGTTTATGGACAGCCATCTATTGTCACAAAATGGACTGGAGAAAGAAAATATCCAGTTCTTTTGGAGAAAAATCGGTTCTTTAGGCCAAAGGTGAGATAAGAATAAGAATACAGTAGCTTGAATTCCTACTAATTACAACAGAAATAGAATATGAGTCTGAGTGCATCAGTTTAACTGCATGGGCAGCACAGCAGAAGACGTATCAACGTGTCCATCTCGTCATATAAGCCTAGATGTGGACATTTTTAGATTGAAAAAAACAAAGTAAACCCTGTTAAATTAATCACAATATCGGCTGCAACATTTAGAATGAAGGATCAGAATTTGCCATAAACAAGACAATAGTGTGGATCTCTCCTACCTCATATTAAAAAAATGAAGCAGGCTGGAGAGGGTGTTGTCTTTGTATGTGAGAATATCTTGACAGGTTTTAGGCCCTATAGTGAGAAAAGAGCAATACTGAACATGTGGTTTGCCTGTATGGCCGCAGTCTATCCATCTTTGATAGTGAATTTGAGGTGAATAATGCATTGTTGCACAAAATCCAAAGCAACTCTATTATATTAAATGTAAAAATAAGTTTACTGTACTCCTCCAATGGACTTCCCAGTCACACCGTCTCAATTAAATGAATATTGTGATTTGTGTGGTTTTGAGGCTCTAATCATGAATATCTAAATCTAGAGAAGTCATTTGTTCTTAAAATAAGTGAATTTGTTCTTGGATTGAGGTGGTAAGAGAGACATTTTGCCAATGTAACAAGACAATTTACACTTAAAATAAGAAAACACAATTGCATTGTCTTATTTCAAGTGCATATTATCTAATTATCTTATTTTAAGAGTAAAATTACTAATTCAATTGGCAAACTATCTCATTTACCTACTCAAATTAAGGTTGAATACACTTAATTTAAGAATTTTCTACTTATTTCTAGATCGTTTCTGCAGCAGCTGACAATTCAGAAGAATCTGCCATTTAACCCTGTCAGTATGGATCAAGATTCCAAACAGACACTTGTTGAGGCTGTGCTATGGAAGGTTAAGGAATTTCTGAATGTAAAAGGAGTTTCTTCATATCTACATGTATAAAAACAGCTAGTTATCTAACACCTACTGTAGGCAGTGCAGTTTAAAAAATAAGAAAGGTGAGCTGAAACACTAATGTTTTTCTTTTTTGTACCCCCCTCAGTAGTCAAGTGTTTCATTATAGTCAGAACACCACAGGTGCAGGCAATTTAAAAGACGCAATTAAGCGAAGTTAGCAATGGATTCCAAAAGTACCTCTGCATGGTCAATGGGAATCAAGAGGGAATTAATACCTTTAGAGGAGTGAGCAAATTATGGACCTGCATTTGAAGTCCATGGTAGGGCTGGGTACCGAACTTCTGTACTTTTATGGTACCGACCGAAATGCTTCGGTTCTACAGAGTATCGAAACATGCCTCGTCTTTCGGTACCAAGTTTCGGTGATTGGCTGTAACACTTAAGGTGATTGCGTCATCCAGGAAAAATACACAGGTGGTCACGCCTACAGCCAGGGTTCATGTGTATCTTTTGTGAACTGGTTGCAGCGTCGCGGAACCCCTTTAAAATGCCCCCCAGGTCAAAAGTGCGGCTTCACTTTATTAAGACTGATGCTAATAGTGCACAATGCAATACATCGTGCACGGAAATAATTTAAGAGCAGAAAGTCGCTCTGTGTTTGACTGCAAGAAGAGCGGACCGCAGCCAGCGCGACCATCCTCCTCTCAGCAGCCCGTGGGCAGAGCAAAGCCAGAGCGGAGTGAATCATGCTGCTTTCAATATGGACGCAGCAAGAGCAGCAAAATCTCGTCTGCTGCTTCATTTTTGCTGCTTGTACCAGCTTCTGACGCGCTGCTGAAGAAGCTTTGCTGCTCTGGCTGCGCGGTCGCAAAGTGGGTCAGACGCGCGTTGGGCGGAGCTACTCTATCCTTTATTTGCCTTGCAGCTATATTTGCTGTGATCAGTGGGAATAAAGTAGTTTTATTATGTTTTTAAGTGGGAAAATCCACCTGAAAACGTAATCAGTGCAGTCAGTTCATCCTGCCTTCAATATTTCTGTCGGAGCCGCTCAGACCCCCCCCATACCAGCGGTGCGCTGTCAGTAGGATCCCATTCAACGGGCTTGTTTGTCAGACATGGTAATTTTTCTAAAGGAAAACTGCTAAGTAAAAAGGTCCTCACAATGTAACAGTGAATATTAGACACTGAATTATTTATTTTTTTATGTAAGAGGAAAAATGTAAATGGAAAAACAGAGCTTAAAATAAAACTCAAGATTTGTACTTTTTTATGTTGTGTAATTTTCTTTTTTTTCGAATTGATATTATAAAACTGGTATCGAAAAAAGTATCGTTCAGGAACCGGTATCGAAGTGAAGGTATCGGTATTGGTACCGGAACCGAAATTTTTTTAACAATACCCAGCCCTAGTCCATTGGGAGAGTCAAGTCTTGGAAAAACAAATTGAATCAGTTCATGTCTGTCACTCTTCACCTAAAAAATGTTGTTGTTTTTTTTGGTTTTGTTTTTTTGTAAATATGAAAAAGAAATCTCCTGGCCTCTGTTCCAAAAAAAAAAAAAATTCTATGCCTTTGCAACTCAAATGTTATTTCAATCTGAAAAACTCACAGAGAGAGAAAGATGCATTTAGAAGAGTTTATTGATACAATAGTTTGAACCTTGGCGCTCAGGCCTCGGCAGGAAACAAACGCTGATTTATACTTTAATGCAGATAAACTGATGTATCAGAATAAGGATATTCCCCCCGGGCCTGAAACTGGTGGTGGAGTTTAGATAGATGAAGTTTGGTTAATCCATAGAGGCTGGTATACAGGGTGATGCTTGAGTTAGATGTCACTGAATGAACCAAGTTTGCATAAACTGTCCATGAACTGTCCACGAAGAGCAAGCATGAAGCGACTGTGGAGAGAAAAAACTCCCCTTTGGGAAGAAATCTCTGGCAGAACCAGGCTCAACATGGCGGTCTTCTGTCGGACCGTTTAAAGTGACAGGGAACTCCATGAAAGTCTGGAGGGACTACACACTGGAGGTGAGGTTGAAGGAGCATCGAGGAGGAGTCGGATGAGCTTACTACAATGGTGGAGAAGGGGATGGAGGTGGGTTGTCTGAATCAAAAACCGACATAGGAGTGACGGATCTTGCGCTTGTTGAAGAGCAGGCCTAGAGATGATTTGGAGTGGCTTTTAAGTTGTGTGCTGGAAGATGATTGGCATCGAGGAAATGTAGCTTGAAGCGGATTGGCTGCATCGGAGGCGGATCATCCTCAGATTGAATGGAAGTAATCAGAGTTTCTTCAGTTGAATTTCCGCCTTAGCTTCATATTGACTTTCTCACTATAAGAAATTAATTATTGTAAGAATATTTAGAAGACTGGAGCATACACATATGTATCTAAGTCACAGTTGACTGACCCCATTGCATTTGTCTTTTGCAGCTGAAATATATTTTTTGTCTTAAAACACCTTCTTATTAACGTCCAATGCGATCCTACCATTGACTTTAAAAGTTATGACACAAATGTAATTTTAACGCTCTACATGTCAACGTAGTATATTTACTCACAGAAGTACAGACCGCGCAGTACTATTCAAACAATTATCTCTCTCATTATGGATTTTTTTTTTTTTGTAAATAAAGTTTTTAAAATAAAACAACCATAGCATGTAGAGAAAGTGCACATTTACAAAATAAGGGACGGAAGGAAAGGAAAGTAGTAATCTAAAAATTTTAAAAATCTAAAAGTTGAAAACTTACATGTACAGTATGTTTATATTTAGGAAAAAAGCAACAGATTATTTACTAAAATGAAAAAAAAAAGCAAAACAGCAAGGATGTAATCATTAACTGAGTTTGTTATGAGCAGTGAAGGATGTCAAGTCTAAAAGCCTTTGGGAAGAAGGATCTGCAATTTCGCTGCTTAGTTAATGTTGGTGATGGAATTAGTTTTATTTTAAGTGTAAGTTCTGGCACTTGCAGCTGGTAGAAAGCAGGATTTATAATGAAGTATCATTCATGATTGGGGATATTTCATGCAATATCAAGTTTTGTAGCAATATTAGCAGAAATACAGCTTTGTATATAGAGTCTAATCAATGAATACTGGTTATATATACTGGTTTATATATAATAATACATATATTGTCTTATGTATATATATATTTTTTTAAAGGTATACTTTATTATCTTGTGGTATTTAAAAACATCAATCAAATTCGAGTTGATAATTAACAAAATGCTTCTAACAAGATAATAGATTACTTTTGTGTGTTTAACCTTTTTATGCCATTGTGCACTTTTGATTTCTGTTATTACATTACAGTAACTTTACGATTTGGGTGCATGAAAGAAAAAAAAAAGGGGGAAAATTGAATGTATTTTTTAAATAATTGTTGTTTATGTACACTTGCATGCTGAACATACTTGAGTTTCACCTTTTTTTCTGTTACGTCCAAGTAGTAGCAGTGTTGAATATTTTTGAAATGTTAATACTTGTTTCTGTATTTGTCTTTTTTTCTTCCCCCTTTAAGTCCGTTACAAATTCATGGAAAATGGCCACCTGGTGATACGTGGCATCAAGAAGGCTGATGAAGGAACGTATTCTTGTGAAGCTCGTGTTAATACCAGGGGAGAAATTGACTTCCGGATGATAAAGGTCATCGTTAATGGTAAGCATTCCATCTGTGTCTGCTTTGGCGCTCAGCATGAGCAGTTTCCCAATGAGTCGCTACTTTGCCCATAATGGCGGCGTATGATTAGGATGACTGTCTGTCAGAAGAATCATGCTCTTTTAAAGCTGAAGATGTGAATCACGGTGTTGTGCATCCGTCCCCCTGTCCTACTCTGTCTCACTTTCTGTTTTTGCAAAGCAGATAAATTAGCTCAGTGTGTCTCTGAATCTGTAGGTGTTACTTTATTTTATTTTCCTTATGCAATACTTTTTGGTACTTGGACTGCACTCCAGATTTTTCAGCATTTAATCGAAATCATCCCTCAATGTACCCAACAGTTAAGAGTACCACAAACTATTTTTTTTCATAAATACAAATCAATAGTTGTAGAAAAAAAATAAGAATAAAAAATAATAGTAAGTCATGATTACAGTTGAGTATTGTGTGGGTTTTAATGACATGTATTGTGAACTTCTTTTTTCTTAATATAGTCCTTCCTACAATCCGCCCGAGGAAAGCTGAAGTCAACGCCACAGCGGATGTTGGGGATGGTGTCTTGCTGGCCTGTGATGCAGATGGCTTCCCTGAGCCCACTGTTACCTGGACACAGTATGTCATTTTTCTGCTTTTCCTTTTTTTCTATAAAAAAATAATTGCCTATTCTGCTGTATGTCACAGTAAATTCACAGTAAATGTTGGTAATAAATACTTGAACAGCACTGGTTGATGGCCTGGTATCTGCATCCTCCTCCTCTTCCCTTTCATGAATGTCATCTCTGTCATTTGAATCCAGTGTTCTAGCTTTTGTGCAGATAACGTTCATATCCAGCGTAACGTTCTTTTTCTGCAGTCATTAATCCGGAAAGCTAAAAGATTCCTTACCGTGATCATGTTGCGGACAGTTGCAACCCCTTTTGTATCCCTATTCAAACTTATTGCTGCTGTCTTCCTGATGTTGTTTTCCTCCTTCTTTATGGAACAAACGGAAGAGTCATTAATTCCGTAATGGCCGCACAGCTTCTAACCTCCTTTAGCATGTAGAAGTTTAAATTTTTCTGCGATAATTAGCATCTTCCTCTGCCTTTTCGGCCCGTCTGCAAGTGCCTTTGTCGGTGCAGAACGTTTTGTCGACATTTTTTGGAAAAACTTTGCAAACTTAAATTTTGCAAGCTGTTGTATGTACATGTACACCGATATTTAAATATTAAACCGTAACGTTATCGACACACAGGTAGAGAAGAAGCGTGGAGACTGTTTAGCCAATCAGAATGCAGAACACAATGCAGATCCATGAAGCAGTGAGGCCATGAAAGGGTTCACTGTATTTCAAAAACTAAATTCTTTTGATGATGAGACAAAACTTGTAGGTTACAATGATCCTAATCCGATATGAAGAATCAGATCATAAAATTAAATATATATCAATATATTATATATATATTGACTAACATGGTTCCTGATCCTGTTGTTTCCAGTTTCCTCGCATTTCCAGAAAATGTAAGCTTATTTCATGTGTATGCTTTGCATATTAGTATCATTTGCAAACTCATATTAAGTATAATGTAGATTTATTACCTACAAATCTGTGTTCATCAGATGTTTATGTTTGAGTATAATAATAATAATGGCTTTAATCTTTATATACAGGCCTAATTCAAAGTATTCAAAAGTTAGAATATTGGATTTAAAAAATTGATATTTAAAAAGGAGTTTTAATCCAGAAGTCTAATGTTACGGCCTTGCAGTCCCGGTTAACATGGCTCTATTGTCTAGATTATGCTCTGTGTAACCCATGAAATGCCATCAAGAACGGTTTTCCTTTTTCACAGCACCGTAATGTAAAGCTACTTTCATTCTGTAACCTTAAAATAATTTTGAAGCAAATCCCGTCTTAGAAGGAAACTCAGATGATGGGGCCTACAGCTAGAGTCAGTAAAATTAGAAGATAACCACATAAATGTATCCTCCATAATTAATTATGCCAGTTATATACTTACTCTTTAACCAGATTTGTATTACATATTTTGCGGTTAACTTGTTTCATTGCTTTAAAAAATGTTGTTAAAATTAAAATCTTGTAAAAGCCACTCGTCATAGTCGAGCCTAAGGAAGGACAGTATTTGTAGGCTGCTCAGGTTGGGATGTAAACCTTTAACCTTTTATCCTTCTTCCCTCTCCCTCCTACAGTAACGATGTCGTCCTTCAAATGGGTGAAAAATACAGTTTGAACGAGGATGGTTCTGAATTGGTAATAAATGACGTCCAGAAGGTGGATGAAGGAGATTATACTTGCATTGCCGTCAACAAGGCAGGAAGGAAAGCCGAGATCGTCAGCCTGAACGTGTTTGGTAAGAGAATATCTCTGTCTGTGTAGTTTTTGTTTTGTTTGTTTGTACCCCCCCCCAATCACTCTGGCCTTCCTTTTTACACTCATTGACATTTGCTGCACAATCTTTTCCTTTAAATATAGCAGTACACACGAACATGATGTACTCAGCATGCCGTGTTCAAAAGTAATTAAACCACCTTTCATGTCATTTAAACATACATTAGTATAGACTTTTACTTTAGAATGTAACTACATTGATAAACTTTGGACGCAATTCTAAACTTTGTTCACTACCCACGGTGCCTCTTCATTAGAGGGCAATGCAAGTGTTAGAAGTGAATGTAAGTTTCACCCAAAGATGTTATTTCTGGCGTTGAGTTCGAGGCTATATACAGTAGCTACTGGGCTACTGTATGAAGCCTCGAACTCAACACTATTCCTTACATTTTTAATTGAAAATGTAATAAAAAATAAATATTGATACATTAAAATATCACAATATCTTCATATGCTTATATATTGCCATTTAAAAACACCATATCAATCTCTTTTACTAATGAAATATTGCTATATGTCATCGTTATGCTACAAAATCCCCCGAAAATTCACGAAATTTTGCCATATTTTTATATGTTGATATATTGACGCGGTATCGATCTATTTTACTAACAAAATCTCACAAGAATTTGCAAAATATCACGAGAGTTTATAACAAGACAATGAAATTTCACGAGATTTTGAAAGTAAAATAGATCGATACCGCGTTTTTAAAAATCAATTTGATATCAGCATATGAAAATATATTTGAGTATATTATTTTTCAAAGTGTCAAAACTGCTATTTTCAATGACTACTTATTTTTGTACAGCTTTAACATCAGTATCGATATCGGTTATCGGCTACATGAGTTTTAAAATATCGGCATATCGGATATCGGGCAAAATCCCAATATCGTGCATCCCTAATAAGAAATGTAAAAAAGAATATCTAATTGAATAAAATGAGTATATGAGAAAACATGTAAACATTATCATTATTTTGTTAAAACCCTTTAGTGCAATAAAGTTTGTTCTGTGGCTGGCTTTGGAGGAGCCACAAAAGAGGATAGGAGAAGCATTAAGCAGCTGCTTTGTCCCCAAGCACAGTGGGGGCCATTATAACACGTCCCTGTGGAATTGTCTTGTGATGGTCTTGTGAGAGAGGGTGTTGCAACACTTAGAGAGGAAAGTATAGCAGAGCGAAACTGCATCTTCCTTCATCTGTGTTCAACTTTATCAAACAGTTGAAGAAATACAAACAAGCACAAAAAAATTGAATCAAATAGCAAAAATCTGTAATGTTTTCAAAAATGTGTTTCTGGCTGGAAATCCGGATGACGCATCCAAATTAACAAACCAAAGGTTTCCATAGGAGATGTTATTTGTATCGCTGGCATCCCAGTGGCTTTGATGAAATGGTTGCATCTGATACTATGATTTTAGAATCAGTTGCTTCAGAATTAAATTACTGGTGGATTTGTTTTATTGCCTCACCTATCTTCCTAAAAGATAGGTGAATAATGTTTGGAGAGCTGATAAAGCACATCAAAGGGAGTGCAGTTCCACAGTATAAAATCTAATGTGTAGGCTGCAACTAACTCAGCCTCCCGCTGTGTCCCGATGCGTCTGGAGAAGCATTAATACATTCTGTTCTGTTTCCAGTGCTGCCCAGAATTACCTACTTCAACAACAACACTGCCTCTGAGTTTGATGAGGAGGTCACCCTGACCTGTGAGGCCTCGGGTGACCCCACACCCACCATCTCCTGGAGATTTGGAGACGCAGTTTTCATTGATGGAGAGCAGGTACACCGCATTACTTTTTACCCTTGAGTTGTTATTTGTAATCTGTTCTGACAAAAAAAAATTCTCTAAATATTTTTGCCTCCATATGCAGAGTTGAGAGCATCAGCAGTGGTTGAATAATAAAAGGAAACTCCAAATAAAAATATAATTTCTTTATTTTAGCATACTTTCAATTGATCAAATGTAAGCTAATGTAAAAAAAAAACATATGTTACAGGGTTATAAGAAGCAGAAAAAAATCTGTTACCATAAATCGTCTCAGTTTTAAACAGTTACTTAGATCTTTGTAAATAATTTAGTTCCAGCATTAAGATAAAACATTAATTATCCCCAAGTTCAGCCGCCCAATTTTTTTTTTCCTGACATTTGCTCATTTCCATCCTTGATCGAAAGCCTCAGTTTAGGCAGAGGTGGCAAGGCTATCAATGAGGAGAAGTCCCAAATCTCACATCATTAATACTGGCTTTTGTGCAGAAAGCCACAAAAAAAATCTCCTAAGAGATCTTTTGGGAGGACATCCTGTGATCTAAGTAATCCTAATTCAAACCATTTAGCCATAACACTCCAAAATCTTTGTTTGGCACAAAAAAAAAACAATGAAGGGACACCATCATACCATCCTACCATTCATCACAGTGGGATGACTGGTAGGACTTATTTTTTCTGATGAAACTAGAATTTCTGCCTAGATGGATGAATTCATGTACAATTATAAGTTTACCACTCAGTTATGAACCAGGTCTTCTTTACCAGACAAAAATGTAACCTTTGTTTTGTGGCTAAATACAGTTTGAAGCTAAATTTCGCAGAAAATCTGTGAGGTTGCAAGGAGTGGACAAGCTTTTGCATAGATTTGGAGAACTTTTGCAGTTCAAGTGGGCAGATACTACCACATTAGGGCATAGGATCTTCAAAACCTTAGAAGGAAATTTAAAAAAGCAAAGAACTAAATGCTTAAATTAAAGGAAAATTTTGATATAACAACATATTAGTGTAAGGTTATACATACACTTGGAGCCAGGTTGTTAAAGGCTCAGTTCCTTTTATTTTTTCCTTTTGCAGCTTTGTTTCTTTTCAGTTTAGTTGTATTGAATATACTTTATTTCATATTAAAGAAAATATTTTCGAAGTTGTTCATTATGCTGTAAATTGTGTAAGGCACCAAAGCCAGACAGTGGGGTATAGCAATTACACCAATTGTATAGCCACTTAAAGGGTAGAACAAGAAAACTAGAGGAAGCATTATGTCAATTATCACAGTGGTTATCCAGTGCAATTGAACTTTTTGCTTCAGAAAACCTTTTTTTGGGCATAATCACTTCATAATCACGGTAAAAGCAACCTTTAGCTTAAATCCAAACAAGCTTAGTCTCAGCTAAGACCAGAGAAGCATTTAGCCACCACTTTCCTTTCATTCTTTATTATGTCTCCAAAATGACTCTAGTAAACTATATTTCCGCCATTTCCCAGAGAGCAGGACAATCATCTCAAATTGTTTCGCTTCATTTCATAGAGAAACCTGCGATCATTTCATCAGCTGAGTTTGCTCATTGTAAACTCCAGAGTCTAACAGCTCTTTAAACTGGTCACGTTCTGCTCTCAAATGGTTTTAATTTTTAATAGACTCCATAGTGAATGCCAGAGGCGAGTGTGTGCAGTTTGCCATAAAACCAATTTACAGGCAGTTCTTTGCACTGGTACTTACCAGTGTTAACACTCAGTGTATTCCTATGAAGTTGAAGTTGTTAGCTCCTATGGAGGGTCTTTTTGTACATGCGCTCTGAAAAGCCAACAGGATAATTAAGTGTGCGCAGGCTAAAAAAAGCGAAAATCCATTCATTTTACATTAGCCCTAATTATTGCTTTTATGAGATTATTTTTCCCTGCTTGTGCTCATCTGTTCAGCACTATAATGACCTACTTTAGAAGTGAGTAGGCTCCGTTTTTGGAGATAAACATGCAATACTAAGTAAGCTGCATTACCAATGGGGTCTCTGTTGTTTGTATTTTTAAATGTGCATTTTATTCAATATTTTTAGAAGCACAGGAAAGCAAAAAGGTTTGAAGAAATAGAAATGAAGACTTAGAAATATCAACAGTCAGTATCTTATGAGTTTGGATTTATGTGGATTTACTGATTTCTGGCACCTTTATAGTTGCATTTAAAGAAGAATTGCAAGTATGGAGGACCAACTGTGACATAATTAGAAATAAATAAGTAAATAAATAAATGTTCAATAAATAAATAGACATAGAAATAAATGAACAAAACATATTAGAAATCTAAATGAATGTGTGCTTTATTTAGTTTTTCACTTTATTTATTTCTGCTTGTGCTTTTCCCATTTTTGTATGAATTTTGCCTCAATATGCAACTTAGAAGAGACTGCCTGTTTATTGATTAGATTACACAAAATCTACTGTATATCAGTTAGCTTAACTGAGGCATTTATTAGCTTTGTAAAAAATGTTTTTATACTTTATTTGTTATGTGGGTGATCTGAAAGGACATGTGTTTATTACCCCATTTACACTACCCTTGAAAAACCGATCCATGCCGAGACCGATCCGAGCTCGGATCAGTTAACCAGCCCGAGCTCGGTTCTGACGACCGTTTACACATCACGCTATCTCGGTTCCTCGACTCCTCCTAGTGACGATCTGCGGTATTACTGCCAGTATTGAAGGAGGAAATCAAGCAGTTGGTGGCGGTAATGCACCAAGAGTTGTTTGCCAACCACCATAAAACACAAAAATGTTTTATTTAAAATGTTGCGTGGAGAAGATTTCGATTGTTGTTTATAGTTGAAGAAGAAGTCGTTCTTCTTCTTCTGTTCCCGGAGGGGCATTACCGCCAACTACTGGAATGGTGTGTGAATCGGGATGTGCAGCCAGACGGAGATGACGCGTTCTGCTCATGCGCTCTTATCAGAGAACCGAGCCAGGGAAAAACGGAGCCGAGCCCACCTCTGGAACTGGTCTGCAGTTAGCTCGCTCCGGTTGTGTCTAGCTCGGTGCAGTTCGGTTTGCTTTCCATTTACAAGCTCGGACCGGTCTCGGCACGGTTTTTCAAGGGTAGTGTAAATGGGGTGTTAGTCAGCTACACAGATTGACACAGATGTTCAGTTGTCTGTTATGCTCGTTCGTCCCCAACAGAAACCGTAGCCTCTGTGTTTGGAGTTCGCACTCAGCTGGAGAAACAAATTCAGTCTCCATTTAACTTATAACTTTTAATATTAAAAAAATAAATAAAAAAGTGGAAGAATGGTGCTGTTCACCTCATGTTTCAGTTAGTGGGTTAGGAAAGATGATGTTTAATGTTCTCCCATGGTATCATATGTGAGGATAAAACTTGATTAAACTTAATTCATAAAAAAACACATACAGCAGTAGCTGTTCAGAATTTGCCTACTTTCCTTGATAAGCCCATGTCTAGTCCCCTAAGATGCCTTTTTTAAACATTGATCTTTGTACTAAAATATTCTTTCTGTCATGATTTGTGGACAATAAGATCTAAAGAGAAGCGTCATCTCCTGATGAGACCCTGTAATTCATTGAAAAGGGGGAGTCAGAGTAAAAAAAACATGCTCACCCAGGAGAAGGAGGGGGTCACTCCAGTGGCTGGAAGTTGACTGCCATTTGGCTGGTGTTTCACTGGGAAGGGCCATTTTGAATGGCTGCTATTATAGTTTTCATCAAGAAAACAGCTCTGTGTTAATCTCCAGATGTCTGATGTAAATACTATACTATGTGCTCTGATCGTTGGAAAACTAGCAATTCTCTACTGCAGCGCTGCACTAAATAATTAAATATAATGTATTCCACAACCTTCAGTTGGTCAACACTGGCCTCACTTGATATAAATTATACTGGTTTTGGTAAATAGGCCCCCAAATATTTTCTTCAATCATCTGCTGACAGAGAGAAACTTCAGAGTCAGCATTCGGCATGCGTAATGATGCGCCCAGGTGTGCCTTGCGTTATAGAGTACAGATATAGTAGAAATCGTCAGGGCAGAGACCGACATAACAAATCTACTACTGTATAATAGTTATGGCAAACAGTACGGACTATAACTGTCTGCAGAGTAGAATAGAAACAAATGAATAAATATCAAAACAAAGAATGCAAAATAGGTATTTGTTCCTGCAGCTGATTCATCAAGGGTTAAGCTGCTGTAGTGCTTGAGGGGTGTGGGGCTTATTATGATGCGTCATCATTAGGGATGGGAATCGAAAACCGGTTCCTGTTAAGAACCGGTTCCGTATTTTCCGATTCCATGGCATCGTTTGGCAGCTCGCTGAATGATTCTTTTTTCGATTCCCGCAGCACCAGAGCCTAGAGCGCCGGCTCTGGGGAGCACGACTTACGTCACGTTTTTTACGTAAGTTACGCAACTTACGCAAGTTACGCAAGTTGGAAGAACTATTCGAGGAGGAAGACAACGAGCTGCGGTCACTTTGTGAATCAAAGCCCCGTCTTTCCTTAGCCCAGAGGGTAGATCAGGAAATCCAGCTCTATAAAAGCTTGCCCTCCATCCCCTGCAGGGATAGCGCCACACTGTGGTGGTGGAACAAGCAAGATACGCTGCCCTTGCTATCTGGACTGGCTGAAAACTACCTCTGTGTGCAGGCTTCCTCCACCCCATCTGAGAGGGTGTTCTCCATGGCTGGAGACACCATAAGCCCTGAAAGATCCCGTATCCTTCCAGAAAAAGCAGATATGCTCATCTTTCCGCAAAAGAACTGTTAATTTTCCCTACTACTGTTTTATAATTAGTATTTTTTGTTATTTAAAATAGGTTATTATCCCATCATTTGTTATTAGACATTGTTGGTTATTAAGTTTGTTCTTGTATTCATTTTTCATTTAAACACAGATGTTACTCCAGTTTCACATTTCCTGTGGACATCTTGATCTTGTTGAGTTTGTAAGATTGTGCAATAGTTAAGTAAACAAAGTTGATTCTGATAATCAAACTGTTTGTTCTCCTTTTTCCC